AAATACTTTGCTGATGCAAATGTGTCCTGACGTATATGCACCATGTCCCCTTTCCTGTCCCTTCTAAAACTGTGTCCCCCATTCTTATCCCACCTTCTGCACTTTATTCCTCACACCATGGCCGCATGATCAGATTTTACTGTCCTGTGTGCTTTCAATAAAGAAACAACTACTTTTACTCAAGCAGCAGCGTCTTGCCTTGCCAACCTGCTCCACACTGCTGTGTCCCTCATCGTGTTCCCCCTGCAAAGTGGCAACAATGTTCCTGTCACAACAGGTGCATATTTAACTGTATAAGAAAATAGCAAGTTGCTTTTTTTTTTTAATATTTATTTATTTATTTGTACAGAACTCGGGTACAGGCCAGAGATGCGGAGGGTGAGAGGATTCACCAGGAACAGAGTGGGGAGTGTAGATCTCTTCTGGGGCAGGCGGGATCAACTCATGCGGAAGTGGCTTAAGCTTTGTAGTGCTGTGCTTTAACGGGTTAAAGCACAGCGCTGAGAAGCTAAAGTTGCTTCCACATGAGTTCGATCCTGCCTGCCCCGGAGGTGACCACATGGCGCCGCAGACCTCTCCTGACCCGCCCACTGCTCCCCTCAGCAGTGTACTTTGTCGATCTGCCTGTTCTGCTCCCCACTCTGTCTCTGGTGAAGCCTCTCACCCTCCGCATCTCTGGCCTGTACTCCAGTTCTATATGCATAAATAAATAAATCCTTAAAAAAAAAGTAATCTCCCAATTTACATCCCTAAATAAAAGCAGTGTGTGAGAATACAGTTCTGTTACAGCAATATGTCAATGTTTGATGTAGTCAGCCTTTTAAATTTTAAACATTTTATTGTATAGTGATAAGTCATGGCTAATTTGCATTTCCTTAATGATATTCATGATCTTTTCATGTGCTTATTATCTATCCATATATTGTTTTTTGAAAAGTGACCATTTAAATATGTTGCCAATACTTATTGGTTTGTCATCTTATTGAGTTGTAAGATATCTTTGTATTATCAAGTTACATGTCATTATTATCATTATTTTTTAATTTATGCATACAAGAACTGGGGTGTAGGTCAGTGGTACACAGTGGTGGGGTACACTTTGTGTTTATTTGGAAAAAATGTCCTTTAGGTGAATATTTATCAAAACTGTTGCTTTCAGCAAATCCAGGAAGATATTTATTTATCCCTGAGGTCAAAGGAAAAGGGGATAGTCTACTACTAAATGAGAATCTATTTCCTAAGGTCAAGTGGGAGTTAGGAGAAAGAAGTCAGCTTTCCACCATATGGGCATCTCAGTGGGCCTCAAAGTAGAACACCCTGCAATAAGTCACCCCACCCACATACTCATTCTCTAATCAATCACTCACTTACCATTTTCAAAAAAGATTTATTTACTTATGCTTACAGAACTGGAGTACAGGCTGGAGGTATGGTGGGTGAGATGCACTGAAATACACTGCTGAGGGGAGCAGCGGGTGGGTCAGGAGAGGTCTGCCACGCCATGTGGGTCAGCTCCCTAGCTGGGGATCGAAATTGTGCTGCAGTGGCTTCTGAGAGCTTCATAGTGCTGTGCTTTAACCCTCTGCACCACCAGGGAGAGCCCTCACTTACTATTTTTATCTTTCAGTAAAATGTAGAAATGAATACAGCAGTTCTTATACCTAGTTTATAATCAAGTAGAAAATTAATCATGAGAAATCATGAGATTAATTAACTGAAGACTCATCGCATGAGATGCAGCTCAGTTGGCTGTTTTCTTAATCACTACTTGCTAACATCACGTCTTTCTATGAATCTTTCCTAAGTTCTCTTTGCCTCTCAATCAAGCCTAGCTCAATAAATACATCCTGTGCACTTAATTTTCTCGCATGAGGTTTCAAAGGCTCTGTCTGTCTTTCCATGCACGTATCGCCCCTCTCCCCTTCAAAAGATGAATCACGATGCCTTAATCTGATCATGGGCATTGTGCTACCGCAGGAAGAAATGACAATCAATACAACATTTCACTCCTTGAGCTCTCGGGAGACTTGCCGAGATTGAGCAGGATGGATGGCAAAACGAGTCAGTAATAGGGTGAGTCAGTAGCTGAAGAACTCAGAGGAATCACGACCCAACGAAGTAGAGTTTCTCATTGTAAGGAGGTGATCCTCCCAGGCACCAGCTGGAGAGCGTGGCAGAGGTGGATAAAGGAGTGAGCATGTAACCCTCTGCCGGCTGTCCCCTGGGCCTCATGAAAGAGTTGCTGAGAGCACAGTCTGGCTTTCTGTGTTCCAAAGAATCAAAGTGCTGCAATACCCATCTCGTGGCTGTGCAGATAACCTGACCTCTGTCTGGCAGTGTGGACGAGCTCTGTTGAGGCTACAAAACCATAAAGCGGGCTTTTATCTTAATCCAGGGTTCACTTCAAAGCTGATCTTTTTCTTATTTTGATGTGCATCTTTTAAAGTTACTTTATCCAGAGGAGAAACACATACTATCCACTGAAAAACAAATGTTGGAATTTTGGGGGCCTTGCTGTATCGTTGCCAAGAAAGATCTTTAACTTGAATTTATAGGATGCATGCATGTGTGATTTTAGGCTAAGTGTCTGTCACCAAGTTTCCCTCTACTATTTTTTTTAAATGTTTAACAGATAAGTTAATGAATAGAACAATTGCAGTAGCTGTATACAGTGGAATACTATGCAGATTGCAAAAGGAGCAGAGCATAGTGATAGAAAATGTGATGAGAATCTCTAACTATGCTGGGTGAAAGAAGACAAGCACAAGTATTGTATAACTTCCTTTAAGTAAAATTCTAGGAATACAGTTACCTCCAATGGTACAAAGCAGGGCAGTGGCTCCCTGTGGTTGAAGATGATGCAGGTAGAGACAAGAGAAAGAGATTACCAAGTGGCAGAAGGAAGCTCCTGGTGACATACATATATGACAGCTGCATATCAAGAATTTATCGTGGCGATGGTTTCCTATTCTTTATACGTGTATGCATATAATAGGTGTACACTTTAAACATGTCTTCTCTGCTTCATTCACTCAGCAGGTTTTCCTGGTTATCAGGTTTTTATAGGCTATGCATATACCTATGATGACAGGTATATGCATAACGGGAGGTATTGTTTACCTCCCATGTGATGCTCTTTCTGAATTTGTATAGCCAATAGTCTACTTGGCATTTTCTTTTGAATGTCTAATTGTTCTAGTTTTGACTGGTCCACCAGGACTGGTCCACCAGTAACATAACATACACATGTAACATAACATACACATGTTACATGAAAAAGGAGATAAAGGTTGTAGATGAAATTAAGGTCGCTGGTCAGCTGACTTTAAATGAGATTAGCCTGGAAGACCTGGGTGCATCCATTGTAATACCAAGGGCCCTTATAAGTGAAAAAGGGGGGAAAAAGAGTGACATTATTTAGAGGCTTGGCTAGCCATCACTGACTTTAAAAATGGGGGAAGAGGGGTGTGAGCCAAGGAATGTGGGCAACCTGTGGAAGCTGAAACAGAGTAGAAAACAGACTTACCTATATAGCCTAAAAGTGGACTCCAGCTGTGCGAACACTTTGGTTTTAGCTGAGTGAGACCTGTCTCAGACTTCTGACCTCAGAATTTTAAGATAATGAATTGGTGTGAAGTCATCATATTCATGGCACTTTTAAGAGCAACTAGAGGAGACTACTATGTACCCCTTGGAACTTCACGTGTGCACGTATCAAGGCTATAGTCCTTCGGCCTATCTAGCCAAGCCTGCGAGAACCCCATTCATTTACGACCCCCCCCACCCCAGGGCTTTGGCTAGGCTGCCCTGGCTCTGTGAGGGGGTGTGGAGGGGAGCTGGGGGGATTCAGATGCGGTTGCCTGGTTTTGCCCTCTTGCTTTTGAAGGCTGGTGGTTGGCTGGAGGCCATGGAGAACCCAATACCAGAGCCAAATTCCTTCTGGATGGAGTCAGGAGGCCTGTTTCAGCTCAGAGGTGCAAAATCTGGCTGGATCATCCCAGTAAATTCTCTGGATGCCTGGCACGGCCCCTGGTTTGTGGCATTCTCTGTGATGTAAAGCTTCTCTGATGGGATGCCCTGTCCAAGGGCAGCCTGTGCACAAGTACTGGAGAAAATACCTTCACACTCCTGGGCCAGCCCTTCCTCAGCCTCCTGCTTTCCTTCTGGAGGAGCCGGGTGGGCCAGGAAAAGGGGGCGGCGGGTATAAAAGCAGGAAGACACCTGAGAGACCTGCAGACACCGGGTTCACAGTCCTTGGGTGTCCTCACCTCCCTGGGGACCAGGTGGGGTTAGCACATCAGCTCAGGCGGTTTCTCTGTGTGTGACCCCACCGAGAAGAAACCTGCCAATTGTTACTCTTTTGGCCACAGGACTTCCTCCTCTTCCCTGGAAGAGAATCCCTGAGGAGTCTGAGGAGGTGAGCGCTCCTAGTAGCACAACCTTAGCGAAAGTTCTGCAGCCGGGAGAGGGAGGCAGCACTGAGCCGTAATGAGGGAGTGGGTTCCCTAGGCCGCATCTCTGTGCTACACTTCTGCCTTTTGGCCGGCCGAGGGGCTGGGCTGGGGCCTCTCTGGGAGTCCCGCCCTGGGTGGCTCTCCGGGTCTCCCCTATTTGGCCGGCAGGCCCGGCTCGGGGCGGGGCGGAGGGAGGGGGCGGGTGGCCCGGAGGGAGAAGCGCAGAGCCCGCCGGCTGCGAGCCCCGGCTCGGGAGACCGAGGGGTGGGGATCTGGGGTGGGCTGTACCCTCCCCCTCTGACCCACTCCACACCCCGCGGGAAGCAGACACTGCCCGCTGAATCACTCCCCTTTCGGAAGGAGGGAGGGGAAGTAGAGGTAACTAGCCCCTTTCTGTATAAAATAAAGCGCAGGACGATCCAGGCTACTTTGCCGGCCCACCCCTGGGCCATGCCCCCTGCCTCTTCCTGCTCGGCCACAGGCTAGGACTTGATGTTTTGAGCTGAGAGCTAAAATCTGTTGTTTCTTCTCCCTAACAACTGAATCATGCCATGTGCCCAGAGGCGCTGGCTTGCAAACCTCTCCGTTGTGGCTCAGCTTCTTAGCTTGGGGGCCCTTTGCTCTGCGAGACAGCCGCAGCCAGGGCCGGTGCGCTTCCCCGACAGGAGGCAAGGTTAGTGCTTTTCTTTATTTCCTTTGAAAGCCATGGTGGGGAGACATGTGAAAAGTTGGTTGGGTCGCGCCCTTTCCCCTCCCCCTCCTCGGCTGAACTCTGCAAAGCCTTTTAGCCCAGTTCTGAGAGGCTTAGGGCTGGGGAATGCAGCGGTTGCAGATTCGCTGTTGAAGGTGAAGGTTCCTTGATCCTGACCCGAAGGTGAGCATCCTGATCTCCAGCGTGATGCTACCGCTGCGGACCCTAGAGGTAGCTGGTAAACCACCTCCTGCTGTTCTTTTGTCTCCTCTTTGAATGCGGCACTGTTTCAGTCCCTCTGCAGGTTCTGAGCAGGAAAATGATTTTCTCTTTCAACTGAAGTTGCCACTGGCAGTCACGGTAGTGTTTCTAGTTAGTTTCAAGCGCTGCTCAAGGGAAGGGAAACTTCTTCCCCCTGCTGAGTGAACTTGGCTCTGTTTTGGTTTCCTGGAAAGATGTAGGGCTGTGTTTTTAAATAGCAGCCCTTTGTAGGGGTGGGGGGAGTAATTTACCCCTGGGGTACTCACCTTTGTCTGTCTTATTTTCCTGATCTCAGCTGGCTGCTGCTCTTTGTGAATTTCCTGGCCTCATAACGCTAGAGAAAGCAATGGAGACTTGTGAAGAATTTGTTTAAGCCTGGCACTCTGAGTAGGGTGCTGCTGTTGCCTTGTTTTTTAAATTGAGCTGGGAAGGGAAGGATCAGTTTCCTGTTTTGGGGGGGAGCATGTGCCGGAGCTCTAAGTGGAGCTGATGGAGGCTTAGAGCAGGGAATTTGGGATGGAGGTGTCATGGACCAGAACCTGAAGGTGGCGGGTAGGGTAGCAGAGCTTAACATCTTCATTAAACCAGCCCTGGAACCTTTCAATCATCTCCCCAGGAGTTGGGGATATGGGGATTGTCAGTCACTACAAAAACACAAAATATCCTACAAGTGTTTGATTTAACAATGGATAACAATTCCTGGCCCTCCTTGGTGCAGTGGGTTAAAGCTCAGCCCTATGAAGCTGCAGCCACTTCTGTGTAAGTTCGATCCCCTCACAGGGAGCTGACCCACTTGGCAAGGCAGACTGCTCCCCTCAGCAGAGTATTTCAACTGATCTGCTCCCCACTCTGCCTCTGGTGAATTCCCTCACTCCCCCATCTCAGGCCTACACCCCAGTTCTTGTATACATAAATAAATAAAACCTTTTAAAAAATAGGTAACAATTCCCAAAGAACGAGCCTTTCCCCCCAAAAGAACACCAATCAGAAGGTCTCCTGCTTAGCAGGCGTCTTCTCTGTCCTCCTCTTCCTAGTGAGCTTGTTCTTTTGGAGATAACCTTTGCATGCTTGCATCTGTGACAGAGTCTCGTTTCCTTGCCAAACTCACCGTGTGCCACTGAAAAAGGAATTCTCAGGTATAATCCAAACCCTACATCTCCGCAGCACCCCATCAGGTCCATCTGGAGCAGGGTGGTCCCCAGGAAAAGGGGAGATTCTAACACATCCACTGACCAAGACAACAGCCCGCAGGGACAGCAGTGACCAGCTCTGCCTGACATATGTGGAAGTTCTCAGAAGGCCAGAAACTGCCGAGCCTGGCTGATAGTGGAGCCCTGAGGTTTTAAACTCAGGTCGCCTGATGCCAAAGTTATTTTAATCAAGCAGAAATTGCCCTGAGCAGTCATCAGGAGGATACCCAGATGGGTGAGCACGCATTAAGTCCTGGGTCTGCTGAAGACAGCTCCCATCACTTTCAACCCCCTTTAGTCCTCAAGACTACTTGGGTGGCAGACACCCCAGGCCTGTGCTTGTCAAGGGTCTCGGCTCAGGATTTTCTGCTGACGTAGCAAAGTTTGCAGGCTGTTGGAGAGCTCGTGGGCAGCTCCAAGTGCTGTCAGAAATAAGCCTCTTTGCTTTGCTTGGAAGCTGGAGCCCACAAACACTGGGGTTAGATGTCAGTCAGCCTCACTGCTTGTGTAAACTGCCCAGATACAATCTCCCTCCCCCAGCTTAAAATAGCAGTGTTTGTTGTTCTTTGAAAAACAGCCCCTTTGTGAAATGTCTCTCCTCTGGGGCTGCACAAAACTTGCCCGAACTTCCCAGGGCATTTGGAGAGATTTGGTTCAAAGACACACATTCTCCTGGGTGGGTTTTCAGTTCTGCTTGCTCCATGGCTTCTTTGTAAGCGAATTCATAGACTCCATTGGGCTTTGCTTTTCCTCCTCAAAAGTGAGATGGTTTTCCCTGGTCACTTTTTTTAAAAAAAGATTTATTTCTGCATACAAGAACTGGGGTGTAGGCCAGAGATAAGGTAGTGAGAGGATTCACCAGAGTCAGAGTGGGGAGCAGGACAGGTGGATTGACTGAAACACACTGCTGAGGGGAGCAGTGGGCCGGGGACTGGAGAGGGGACTTGGAGAGGTCTGCACCATGAGGGTCAGCTTCCTGGCTGGGGATGGAACTGGGCTGCTGTGTTTGCTGATAGCTTCATAGTGCTGAGACTTAACCCATTGCACCACCAGAGAGGCCCCCTGGAAGGTCACTGGGAAGGTTATAATGCTGAGAGCCTGTGGGGATGAAAATAGATGCACAGTGCTCCCGCTGAGCTTCCTAGCCATGCATATATTTAGGTTTTAATATCATCGCAGATTGTGAAAGATTTTCACCCAAATATGTTCTTAATGAACTCACCAATGGGCTTAAAATTGACATCTTGTGCAAAAGAGAAATTTCTGAGCAGATTTCCATTGAGAACTGAGGAGGGAGGGAAGAGGGAAGATGAGAGAGACAGAGAAAGAGGAAAGATGGAGGAAAAGAGAGGAAGGGGAAGGGGCAGAGAGAGGGAGGAAGGATGAGGGCAGACCAGTGAGAAGGAAATGCTAAGGCTTCCTGGGAACAGAGTAACCTGGGCTTTGCTTCCAAGTGTCCTGCCAGCCACTTCACAACTAATCCATCTCCTCAAACTTCTGTGTCCACTCTGGCAACATTTTTGAATAGCCTCCAAATTCCAAATATTTAAATTTGCAAATTACTTCAGCTATCATCCCACCTATCCTTTTTGCCTTTACAGCTAATGAATGAGAGGCCTGGAGATTCCATCTTGTTAGTCAGGCACTATTGAGGGCCTCCCTACTAAGCGCTAAGTGGGTGAAGGTGATCACACAGGGTCCCTCCCACAGCTGGAAATATAGTCAGAACCCAGGTAACCCTTAAGATTTCTGTAGTGGGGAAAAAGAGGTGAGGCTAGAGGCATGGGGGTGAAAGAATTCACTGGAGACTGAGAACAGGAAAAGGAGAATTTATTGAAACACCCTGTGGGAGAGCTGGGCGCTGGTAGTGAGGGGTCTGCACTCCCAGACCTCTAACTTAGCACTGGCACTGGACTGGTGGTGTTGGGTGATGACCTTTGACAGAAAATGTGTCCTGGCCCAGCTTCTGCATTCAGGGTCTAGGTGACCAGCCTTGTGGCCTGGTCCCCATAGTGACCCTAGTGATTCCCTCTGTCTATTCAAGGCTCCCAACTTGCCTGCTGGGCTAGGAAGAGGGGCTACGTTTTAACTTTGGAATGATACCCCAACAATTTCTAGTTCTAAGGGTCAGGCTTGATTAGGATTTTAATCTTCATGAAGGTTTTAGACCTAGGAAGGAATACTGAGATAAAGTCACTCCTTCCTGGAATTGAAAGGGCAGATTTGATAAACTGCCCAGTGCTCTTTCGGCCATGACGGTCAAAAGGAAGGATCAGAATAGAGGGAAATATTAATCCTCTGTGTGCAGAGCACGACACTCTGTATGAAGCTGTTGGCGTAGCTGTCGGGATTACAGCTGCCGATGCTGCTCACCCTGGTCACCCTTTAATCACCGTGAGTTCTTGTCTCAGGAAACCATAAAAAGGAATTCACAAACTTTCCAGATAAGTAAGCAGAGAAAAACAAACTTTGTTTAAGAAAGTAAATTTCTGGGGGGTGGGGAGATAAAAGCAGAGACTCCCAGGTGTGATGTACCTGGGAGGGGCATGGGGACCATCCAGAGTCATGCTCTGGGAATATGTACATATGTACCTTCTTTCCCTGATTATTCTAGAATTCCACCAGTTGCTGTGTGGTCTCACTCTGCGACTGTGCTTGGAATCTTCCTGCATTGTGGCCCTTATCAAAACCCCCACCTCCCTTTTTTATTGCCCTTGGTCAGGAACATCCACTGTCTCTGGTTTGGGGATTTAATTAGCCCCCATTGGGGTTTGTTGCTCTTATCTAGGAGCTTCCCTTATTCCTGTTGTATATCTCAGAGGCCTCTTTAACTCTCCCAAGCCCCTGCCTGCACTGTCCTGAAGCTGCCTAATTCTCCTGACTTGCCTTAGGGCTTGTTTCTTGGTTTGCCAGGCACCGGTCTTGTAGGTTAAGCCTGTGGTCCCAATTGCAGCTGATCCTCTATAAGATCCATAGGGCAGAGCCTCCTCCAGATGTTCCAGCTGTGCTTTGGGCCACATAGGCTTACGCTGGAACACAGGCGAGTGTTACGGCACATTTCAAGATCAGTGCTATAACTGTGCATTTATGCCACTTGGAAAAAAATAAATCCTGCCAGGTGGAAATGAGTTAGGTGTTTTTTTAAATATAAAAAGAGACTTCAGTGTTTTGATATGTTATTTGTGTGAATTATGAAGTTATTTGTGTTCATTAGACAATTCTGCAGGTTAGTTACATGTAGGAGTGAAAATTTTGTTTTTCCTCTTTACAAACTTTTTGTTTTGAAATGCGTTTTGACTTATAAAAAGTTGAAAAAAGTACCCATCACTCAGCTTCTCTGTGCTCACATAACCAGAGCACAATGCATGACATTAATATCAGTGCTATGAATGTCACTATTAATGTCATAGTTGCTGTCTGCTCAGCTACAGGCCTAATTTGAATTGTACCAGCTCATCCACACTGTGGCTCCCATACTGCATTTAGTTACCGATGAACAAATCCAATCTCCTGTGGCATATTTTACACTCC